TAGAATATGGGAAATGAAAAAACATGGTTTGGTTCAGTGACTCATCCGAGATATCACTCCACTTAAGTGGTTGCTGCCTGGCAACGTATGTGGTGTCCTGACTTTAAATTTAGAATTTATTCCAGAAAGCCGAAGTTTACAGACTCCAGCAGCAGGGGAGTCTTATATTGCCTTGCATTGGCCATTTCATTTTAAAAGAATGTTTTACAAGTGGGAGGAAACCAGAGTACATGCGAAAAACTCACGCACATTAATAGACAGACCTCTCACAAACCCTAGGAGCTTTATTTTCCACTTGACCATGATGCAGGCCTGTTGATTTGAGAGTATTCCAACACAGTACAATATCTGTCTTTCTCTCTTTTGTATGGCAGGGGGAAAAGGTACATTTTTAAAACATTTGACAGTTGAATGGTAAGGTATTTCAACCAATCCAAGGAGGCAGTCAACACTATATGAATTGAAGTGACACTGCCAGGATGTGTATGGATAGTGCATTAGCCGGTGATGTGGTTTGATGGTTGTGATTCACCACAATCCCAGTTTATCGATTTTTTTACATTCCGTTCAAGTGTGGTTGATTTTAAATCTATATTGAAAAATTTTTTTAGAACTACTTTTTACGTTTAGTTTTATGTTTTTCGCCTACACCTCTGATTCACACGGTTGGATACGTACGGTCCCGAAAGAAGTTCATCATACATGATTGTCGTAGGACAGAGAAGCCTGGTCCTTCCACAGTTGGGTACTCGATGACCTTTTTGATTGCCACATCCAAAGTCACACCCCACGATTTCGTTCAACTGTTTGCACATGCCCGCAAATTTCTGCATAATGATCACTCGTGGTTTTGTTTTCTTTCTGTCTTGTCCGATGTGGTGGCGATAGATGAGCATCTGGTCGAGAGTAACTCCTAAGTAGCGGGGGTGGTGGTCGTGTGTTAGCAGTGTTCCACAGAAGTTGACATTGAATATTTTCGTATATATATTGGTCGTTGTTCAGGTAAAAAACGGATAAGATGCTCTTGGAAGCGTTGGGCTTAAGCCTCCAATTCTTAAAGTCTCCTTATAAGGTCTTTTTATCTTTTTCGATGATCTTTCCCGTGTCCTGTTTTGTCTGGGCTTGGGTTTTCAGCGAGATGTCATCTCCGTATGTGAACTTGCGGGAGGATGTTGCCTGATTGTTGCTGGTGTAGAGATTAAATAGCGCTGGGGCAAACCTTAATGGGCTTCTGGCAGCTTCACCAAGGTGGACGGTGAACCATCAGCAGCTCAGAATTGCTGTGATGAGTCTGTCGGGCAGCAAGGCACGGCTGTCGGAATATTTAGCAGGCGACCCTTCCGCCATACGGTATCGTATCCCGAGGGGAGGTCAATGACCGCCGTTGCGGTTTTGAGCGGACGTTCGAAGCCTGCCTCAGTGTGACTTGTTAAATCAAAGCACTTTATCACAGAAGTTTGGGCCCATTTTGTACCCAGCTAGTTCCCTCGGGACTACATCCTTGAGCGTAGGCTTCCACCTTTGAAGCAGGAGTCGCTCCCGTAGCTCGTAGAATGACGCTGGGGAGGGAAATTGGGCGGTAAATTTTTGCATCAGATGCGTTCTTACCAGGTTTTAAAAATGGCTACAATCTTCGTAGCTTTTCAACCCTTTGGTACTACAACTAAGCAGGGGATGTCGTTGAAGAAAGTGGCCAGCCATTTTCTCGCTTGTGGTCCCAAGTTCTTATTACCCTGATTCAGGATAAATCCCATTGAGGCCTGTGGCTTTGCCATGTTTCATCTGAGCTATACCAGAATCTACTCTCCCCCCCCCCTATTGAGAAAGGACCAGAGAATGCAGGTTTTTGTTGTCAGCGGTCGAGAGTGCGGTTGAGGTTTTTTTTTGTAATATTTAAGTGTTGTGTTTTTTGTCGATTGGCGCTCGTGAATTTCTGATTAGCTGTCCAGCAATGTCATCAGGGCTGAACGTTTGTAATCTGGAGTCACTGCTGTACATGGCGCGTTCTTGTAAAGTTAAGCGCCTCTGCTGTTTTGCCACCTTTCTGCTTACCAAGCTCAGTGACTCGAGCAGGGCTTTTGCAGTGTCCTTTTTTCTGATTGATATTGAATTGTTGTATGTGAACATATCCTTGGTCTTAGCCACAGTTGACTCAATATTAATGATGGCCTGTTTACAATGTGTAAACATCAGTGCTAGGAAACAAAGGTGACCAAGCATGAGTGATGCCTGTTAGATTTGCACATTGTTTAGCCAAAATAGGTGTGTAGTGAGTCCAACTGAGTCGCAGACGTTCTTTAGAGGCAACATATTTATTTGTAACATAAACACGTAACACAAAGGGGTAACTGCCCCTTCACCAGATACAGCCTCGGGTGGTGGTGACCCAGCTAACTACCCTATACGGAGGAGTTACAGCTACGAAGGGTCGGACCTCACTCGGGTCCCTGCCACGTATTTATGCCTGTTGAGTGTCCAGCTTGTAGGTGTAGAGCTTCCAGCTTGTAGAATGCAGCGACCCCGGTCCCTCTTAGGGACCCGCCTTATATCCCCCTTGGTCGGGGCTGCTCCGCCCTTGGCCCCACCCGCCTTCTCGAGCCTTCTAGCTCCCCCTCGATCCCTCTCGAGAGCTCTCCCCGGTCAACCCGAGTGCCATGGCCCGGGGCAACCCTGCCCCTGGGCTGACACTCTCCCACTCCCTCTTGTGGGAGCCTGCATGACACGCCATGCGTGGTGCCCGCACTATCCCAGCGCACGCCAAGCCCCGCTAAGGCTGGTACTACACCCGCCTACGGGTTGTACGCGATGACAATGCATCGCGTGCCGTGGCCCTCTCAGGCCGGCACCATACAGTGACATCCCCGATGTCACTATAGGTGCTCACCAACTGTGTTTCTCCCTATCAATGAGGCTAAATGCGGGGATTCTTTTTAATTTACCGTGTGTAGTTTTTATATAATGGGAAAAAAAATCAAAATCCTATGCATATGTTGAGTCCTACAAAACATTCCACGGAGTTTACCAGTGGCTGTTCTAATGGGAGTCTCAAAAGGATTCTGAAATTCTGAGGGTTCGTTATTAATTTTACAGAGTGACCAAGAGGTCGCTGCAATTACTCACTGTTCATAATCCAGGCTAAGAATCTCTGAGTCACCTCCTGAGGCTTAATGAGAATGTCACTACGCTTTACTCTTTGGTTCTTTCGGTAAAGTCACGTAGGTATAAATTAAAATAAATTCAATCACGACGTTTCGGGCGCAACACAAGTGTCCGTCATCAGGTGGGACAACCACAGTAATTGCTGAAGTGTGCTTTGCCATATAAAACTGGCATGCCAGCTTGGTTGATGCTATATCTTTAGGAAAATTATCATAATGGTGTCGGATTGACATCTGTGTAGTTATAGAGTACCTTTCCATCACAGACAATAGAATGCCATTGATTAGGAACTAGGAGCTTGGCTTTGACTTGAGCAGGTGATGTTCGCTACCAGATTGTATCAATTTGATTTGTGGAGCAGAGCCTTTTCCAGAAATACCAATAGCATAACTGAGCCCATGCAAGTGGCGCACATACAACAGTTGAGTTTTTTTTATTGCAGTGCAGGAGGCTTATGCTTATTCCATTGATGCTTCACGTATATTGTTCTTGATTTGTATTCTGTCATAAAAAAAAATTGTATTGTAACGTTGTGCCCGGCTGTACAGTACTCCAAATGAGGTGATGATGAAATGTGACACTGATACAAAAGCATGGTACACTATTGTACGGAGCCATTAGTTTTGTTAAGCATATTTGACCCTGTGAGTAGGTCCTTACTGTCAGCATAGATGGAAATATTTGGCTTTTGGTGTCACTTTGAACCCCGTTTATTTGAATGCACGTGGCTGCTTGCATTCTCAAACATACAGAGAAGAATACTCTGAAGATAACTGCAACTGCTGATAGCTTTCAAGTTTCAGAGACATTTCATGCATTCATTGTGTTTTTTTATTATCTTGTTTAAAGAACGGGGCTTTCATTGTGTGTTGTCTTTGTTTCTGATGTGGCTTTTTTATAGACTCTATCTTTGTATGTGAGTGTGTGCATGTGTGCATGTATGTATGAGGAGCAGTTGCCAGCATTCTGCATTAACATCCAAGCAACCTGGGTTTGATTCCTGGCCATGTAATAATATTTGAGTGTGAAGACTTTTTAAAAGGGTAACCTCCATTTAAGGAGTGTTTGGCATGTGAGTAGAAACAGGAACTCGACGTATGTGATGGAATATAAACACTGAAACGCTTCGCATAGACACATTCAGTCCACACGGAATCAAATCAGTGAGTGTAACAAATCTATCGTGATGTCTGCCATTTTTGTACTGGCACCTCGCAGCCCTCAGCGATATGCCTACAACACCTATACACTTGTAATCAACCAACCAAGCACAAATCAGGCTTAGCTTCATTAGCTAGCATGGTCCAATGAGATTTGGGGCATACAGCATGATTTTATACGTACGTGTACATACATCGACGTACGTGTACGTCGTCGGAACAGAGCCGGAATAAATACTAGAATAAAATAACTTTATCGGTACCGAGGCTCCACAAGGCCATGCGGTAGGGCATGTTGCACAGTTTGACGTAAGCTTATCATAGAATGCGGTCGTGTCGCTAGAGTTCTCTGTGGTGAGTACAGTGTCTTGAAATGCTGCAGCGCTACGCCTCTCTTTTTAAAATTTACATAAAACCGCTTGCGCATTCCGAGATTCAGGGGTGAACAGGACCCACCCTGCAACTTGCAGTCTCGGAAGGGGAAAGGGTCAATATCTGACCTATTCTGTACCTCTATTGAGGACAATGTGAAGTTAGTACCATGCGAAGTGTATGAACATCACCGCCTGGGAGACAGAGAGAAGTGGTGCTAGCCACATAATTCCACAATGTTGCTTTGCCTGTCTTAATCGGTGCTTGCAAACGGCTCATTGTTTGTGCATTTTGTGTATTTTTTTGCAGATATTCATTGAGCGATCCAGCAACAATAAGCATCTGAATACAATCAACATCCGGCACATTGCCAACTCCATCCGAACCCACGGCACGGGCATCATGAATACTACGGTGTGGGGCAATCATTCACACTCTCCCTCTTTGTTAAAGGAAAACTGAAGAGAAAATACATTGCTCTTATGGATACGCATGGGCTACATGACACACGTTTGATCTTTAGCATTGCGTAAAAAAGACTTGAAGTGATGTTAGGACCACAAGTGCTGTATCCCTGTGTCATTATGGCACACTGTAATGTAACTTTGAAATTCTTTTGCCATTATTGATTCGTAAAATGCATGTCAGATTGGTCACATAACCCATGTGCCAGTTCACACAACCTATGTGGTCTGTATACAGGGCACGCACTCTGTGTTTGGTAGCATCTGCCTTTAAAATGCTTTTTCTTAAAATTGCATTGGGTGTGTGGCGTGACAACTTCCCCAAAATGCAACACTTCTCCCAGTCATTCTCTTCACACGCGTAATTTTTTCCACCAATACCCAAGTATAGTCAGTTTTTACTTGTGTGCCACTGTTAGCCTTTTCCGGCTGTGGTTATCCCGATGCTGATTACTTTACCACTGCGATTCTCGCTATATGTCTGCATGCTACTTTGTGGTTTCTTTGAAATTAGGTATGCTCCTGTGATACGTCAATTGCACTTTTGTGAAAATCACTTCACTCTGTTGGTGGAAATATATCCCGTGTTTTCTATGGTGTGGGCCTCTTCCTCAATAGGACAATGATTGGTCTCGTTCTACAAATTGGTACTAACTTTATCGATCCTGTAGAGATGATGGGCTGAGTTGACTCCCAAACTGTGATTTTAACTCTCACAACCTTCTGATTGTGACTTAAGGATTCTTACCAAAAATAAATTTATACACACATACACAAATATTTTCCATATTTTGTTTAGATGATTTATCCCACTTATTTAATAATGTTCACAATTACACAATCTGCACCAACAACCTTTAGTCATACTGTGAAGGGCAGCGTATACATCAAGCATAATTTATTCCACTTCCTGCTCTTCATCTGAGAAACAATTTTTTCATATTGCCTGAAACAACAAAGAAGGAATTTGGAGGAAGAGGAAGAGTTACAAAAGAGATAGAGATGCATAATAAGATATTGAATACATATATATAACTCTGTAAATTGCTTCACAATGATTGAAGATGTCATACCAATGAATTGAGTGTATATCAGTAAAAATAAGGTTGATGATTGAGAGTTCACAGATGGTAGATCCTCTTAAAAGACATATAACAGAGATGTAATCTTAAAATGAATGGAAGAACCCTATGCAGATCTTAGCAAAAAATATTTCTGTCTCTGAAATAAAAACCCTTTCTCAAAACGCACGTATGTCAAATTAGTTAAAAAATTTGATTCCAGAAAATGCAATGATTTAATGTTTGGAGTGTTTGATCTCGCTCTGCAATCGCCTTCATTCGCCGAAGCTGTGTTCCGGTGTCGCTCTGCAGGTGAACTTCACGTACCAGTTCTTGAGGAAGAAGTTCTTCATCTTCAGCCAGTTCATGTACGACGAGCACATCAAGTCGCGGCTTATCAAGGACATTCGCTTCTTTAAGGAGACAAAGGACCAGAGCAACCCAAAGGTGACCTCAGCATAATTGTCGCTGCTTGTAACAATCTCAGCCCAATCATAGATGACTGCACAAAATATGCCATTGCATTTGGTTTTACACTTGGTTTGGCTAAATTCTGCCTCTTAGAATAACAAAAAATATCTAGTTTACTGCCATGTGACAAAACAGTCCTTTTGGATAGTTTTTGGGAAGGTGTGTCCCCTATTGTGTCAAGGGTTAAGAGCACTTTAAGGATTTTTGTGAGAATTCCTGTGACAAAATATTTTTATTGTGAAACTCCCAACATAGGAATGTATAATTTCCACCGTAGGTTTCACTGCAATTTACAAATGGCATTGCAAACATTACGCACGAGTTGAAAACCTCAATATTGCTCATTTCAGCAAATGTATGATTAACTATTCACATAGTGGAAAATAGTCTAGCATAAACTCTTTCTAAAACATAAATATAGTGCCTATGCATCATGGATATTGATTCGCGCATATCTGCGTGCAAATAATTAAATAAAACTGTACAATTTAATCACGCCTGCATAACATTCACAGCATATAAGGGCTTTTAAGAAAATGCCTGACAAGTGCTATGGAAAAATGATTGTTTTGTGGTCATAATACAAATTATCTATGAGGGTGTTGATTAATGTAATTTGCAAATACTATCAAATTTGCATTATGTTGTATGAAAATTGCGTAAAAGTGAATATCGTATTGGTAGTTTAGTAAAATGTGCAATTACACATTTTAAATCACAAAATGAATTGATTAGGAGAGATTAGTATCAATGTTCACACCCTTCCAGCTTGTGTGATGGTCGTGGTTCTATTATTTATAATTCTGCTTGCTGGTGTTGGCAGTACCCGTTTGAACGTGCAGACAAGTTCAACCGCGGCATTCGCAAGCTGGGGGTGAGCTCGGATGGACAGAGCTACCTGGACCAGTTCCGTCAGCTCATCAGTCAGATCGGTAAGGTTGTGTTCTTTGTACGTCTGTGGTGTTACCTCGAATAGGCACAATGACGTATTTGTCTGACCTTTTCACCTCTTGCTGGAGGGAGGAAAAGGTTGAATATTTAATTAAAATAATACATTGAAAATTAGGTTTTGTACCCTGGTAAAAACGTGTTTCTCTTGTCCCATACTGCTGGCCACACCGGTCCAGTGTTATCAAAACATTCAGAAATTTCTCTCAGACCATGAAACGCGTTGCGGATGAGGTTTTTAAAAGCAGGCACTAAGTGCCCTCTACAACCATATTCGCACTTCCCATCGCCTAACCCAGGGGTCGGCAACCTACGGCTCCGGAGCCGCATGCGGCTCTTTACGGGCTGCTTCTTGACGATGAGTACGTATGTACTCAGATGCATTGCGGCTCTTGAAATACTGAATTTTGTACCGAATTGGAAAGAAATGGCTCTTCTTGTTATTTTGGTTGCCGACCCCTGGCCTAACCCATTAGCCTCACTATTGGTAGCAAAGCACACTCCCAGTAGGTGGACACACAAATAAATTAAACACTCTCTTTCCACGGACTTTTTCTCAAATTAGGAACCGCCAGTGCATATAATTAATGTCTTTTAATCTTAATTGTGGACTACTGAAAATAGATTAATAATGGTGGCAAGTTTGGGGGGGAGGGGTAGCTGTGGGGGTGTGCCCCTGCTCCAAACATCATCCATGGACACAACTTAGGCCATGTAGAGAAGAGGGGGAGAAGTGAGAAGTCTGACATTGAACAGAGCACAAGGAGTGGTCACTCCTCATATTGGAAGTGTAAGTATATTGAAAGGAGGCTATGGACACAGGCAGAACTAATATGTGCCATTTACCTCTTCATCGAAAGATGAACCCTGGCAGACTCACCCAATGATCGCGAGAAGTAGCCGTTTGTGGGGACGCATGGGTGGGGAACTGGTGGCCAGCTGTATGTACGAGCGAAATGAGTGTTTCCAAGGTACCATGCCTCTTTTTCTCATTATCGTATACAGCCGGCCACCGGTCCAATGTTATTGTAACATTCAGCAACCATAGCAGAGCTGGTACCTGGAGGAGGAGAGGCTACTCATTATATAGCAGCAGTCAACCTGCTCTTCCGAAGAAGGCGCCTTGCGAAGCCAAGGTGTCCAGTCTGTCATACTGGACAACCGCGTGTTTAAATTTTGATTTAAATCTTCGTGACTGCAGGGATTCATATTCTTGGTTCTTTCGGTAAAGTCACGTAGAAGGGAAATATCTATTTATTATTTTATTATTTCCCTTCTACGTGACTTTACCGAAAGAACCAAGAATATCAACCGTGTGTTTGGTGACCTCCAAGTAGCCGCCTTGCAAATGACATCCACTGACACGACATGTTGAATGCCCTGGCCCATGAAATCACCACTAGCCTAGTGGAATGGGCTATCAACCCCACTGGGGGATCCTTCTCAGCTGGCGAGTAGAGCAGTTCCTAATGCACTCCTTTGGCCACACGGAATTACAGGAGGAACAGCTATTGCGATTTCCGCCAGCCCGCTGTCCTCTGGAGATAGAATTTGAATGCTCTCACCGCATCTAAAGTGTGGAGCGCTCTTTTGTCCAAAGTGAACGGCACAGGACACATTGTAAAATGCAGCTTCTGCTGCAAATGAAAGGTCGAGGCTACCTTAGGCAAAAACTGAGGAGAAATCGTCAACGCAACCTTGTCCAACTGGAAGTGCACGAAGCGGTATGGGCCGACAATGCCTGCAGTTCTCCCGCCCTACTGGCCATTCACGATGGCCACCAAAAAGATGTTTTTTAACCCTTTCCCATTCCGATGACGTACTTCATTCGAAATGGAATCGGAAGTAAAAGGCCACGTTGGAGGGCGTGTTGCACAGTTTGGCACCAGCTATCATAGGGTGCGGTCATGTCACTACAATTCTCTGCGGTGAGTACAATGTCTTTGAAAACAGCGGCACTATGCCTCTCTAAAATTAACGCTAACCACTTACACATTCCGAGATTCAGCAGTGAATGGGACCCACCCTGCAACTTACAGACGTCTCAGAATGGGAAAGGGTTAAGGTCACTAATCACTCTGAAACCGTAGCCATCGGTTCAAACGGGGGAGGGGGGGGGGCACAAGAGAGTATCCAACTTAAACCTCAAGGGGCCACCGACGCTGGCCGCCTAGTAGGGCTCCCCAGAGCCGAGGCTCTCAGGAGCCGAGACAGCACTGACGAAGAACCCACCGGGACTTCGAGCACACGGTCGTGAAAGTCAGAAATAGCCAAAAGGCGAACCTCTATGGACGCTGTCGACCTGCCGCTTAACAACTGTTATCTCCGCCTGGAGATTGGCAGATGAAATAGTGGCACATTTCTAAAGTCAGGGCAATTTGGTTATAAGCAGAGGCAGGAAGGAGGTGTGCAGGATGAGAGACTGGAGATGCATGGAGCAAGAGAGGCAGAGTGTGGTACAGTCGAAGAGATGAATGCAATGAGAGAGAAACAGAGAGACATGACAGGTTATGGAGTGCAAAGAGCAGAGACATGACGTGGAAATATATTGAGAGATAAGCAGATGGCATGAGAGAGGTAATGAAGTGAGAAACCTGTATAGAGAGATATGAATCATCAGAGTTGTAGTTGGCGTGGGAGAGAGAGAAGCAGAGTATGAGAAACATCGTGTGTAATTCGTGACTTTTCTAGCCGAAAATTTAATTCCCTGAATCATGGATTTAATCAATTGTTATAATGCCCTGTAAAATATTACACTATCTTAAAAAAAAAAATCCTCTCTATGTATCTTGGTGATATCTGTCTGCTTATATGTCTGTCTATAGTTTTATGGTTAGATTCTATGTCGCTATTTCATTATACCTGATGATGATTGCTTGTGTTGCAATCGAAACGTCGTATGCTATTATTTAATTTAATTTATTATTTGATCTTTATACGTGACTTTACCGAAACAACCAAAGAATATTACACTATTTCACTGTATTATTCCATCGTGTAGGAAAAAATTGGCAAAGCGCATTGCACCAGGTGTCAAGTGGAGTAGGTTGATGTTTCAGCCTGGTCATCAATGACATAAAAAGCACCATTACATTTCTAAATCATATTTGGCTAAATTACAGCAGCGAGAATTAAAATATCAGTTTATCATGTGAAGAACGTTCTTGTTGCAGCAAAGCAGATGAGAAATTGCTGCCCCCTTGTGTGGATAAGAGGTCTTTTGAAGGGATCTCAGAAGTAGGTTTGTGTTATCTACTTCCACAGACCGTTCGCCAACATGCAGTTGGATTTTCTCATGACATGATGCCGATAGCACACTCGATACTATTGTGAAAAGAAAAAAAACAATTCTTGAAAAAGTATTTATAGTTTGTGTCATTCTAATTGAGTAATGTATTGTTGGACAAATCCCACTATGACGCATTGGTTAAATATGGAAGCTTGTAATTAGCAGATTGCTGTTTCAATCACACTGGGTAACCCAATTAATGGGACGTCAACAGCGTTGACCTATGGAAGAGACTTCCACTGACGCATAGGAATATGGATTCACTTACTCTTGGTCACTGTTTAATGGAGATCGGCACCATCACATATTCTTGGACAGGAAATCACTGCTGGCATGTTTTTGTTGCAAAAAAAAGAATTGCAAATATGTTTAATTACACACATGTAAACGATCCAGCAACATTCAAGTTAATTCACTTTATTTAGGCATTTTCAATTACTCATCCATATGCCTGGATGTGCCGTTATTGCTTGAAATTATGCAAAATACAGGTGGCCACAGTACTTGCTTTGAACCAATGGCATGTATTTTGTACACGTAATACACTCGCAGTAATAACCAGGTCGGCCTGCTGGATTTGAACCACAAACACTTGGGCCATGCCACTGCCTCTTTGGCAAAGCCTCCCAAGCCAAGACCCTCCTGAAGCTGCTTGGGGCTCAATGAGGTTTTTTTTCTTGATAAAATTAACACGTATGAAATGTATGTCTTTTCTACACGGATATGCAGGGAATGCCATGGGCTACGTGCGTATGATTCCGGTCTGGAGGACTCCACTGCTGCAGCAATGCGATCAGGTTTGCCCATTTTTCAGTTCCATTATGCATGTTAAGATAGTATGTGATTATATTGCATTTAGATTAATTCAATGAACAGAATTATACAAACGAAACGGTGGGAAAAACATTATAAGCATCGCAATGAGACGGTGAAAATTACACGAAAAAATCTATTTGGCTCAATTGCCATATGATATATAATGAATTAATATACTCCTTCATCCTATCAGGATGATGCCTTTGATTGGAATGGCTTTTCATTCATTGCTGGTTTTGCGCTCTACTTTTTCGAGCAGCAAGTGTAAAGCATCGTCCGCAACTCTTGCACCATTCAATCAGGCTGTCATCTCTGTCCTTTGAAGAACATCAACTGCCCGAAGAAGAGGCTAATATAGATTGTTCTTTTATACTGTAGTGGTAATGACAGCGTGATGAGGTTTTTTGTGCTTGTGAATAGCCTCTCAATCAGCCATCCAGTAAAATTACGCATTGAATTACCAAGCACGCTGCTTCTCTCACATGGCAATTAAAAGACCCTGTGACATCAACATCGTCCAATGAGAATGGTACACAAGTGTGCTGGGTTTTTTTTTTACAACACCATGGTTAATTTGCAATATTGAGTGTAAACACTGTAAACTTGCCCGACAAAAATGCTGGAGTACCATGTCTCCTGCAAAATAGGGAATGCATATAAGTGGGCTTTCACTCGCAAAGTGCAGGACATTAGTGCCATTTCAGGTGAAGTAAGTATTGGTAAAGCAGTGCCTCACCAAAGTTGGTACATCCGGATCAATCCATGTTGGACCAAGTCTTCAATGATTGCTAAGGTGTCAAGTACAGGAACCTTGGTGAACAGAGTGACTACATCAAAGCTGACAAGCAAATCGTCTGGAGACAGTGAGATGTCCTTGATTAGAGAGACCAAGTGAGCTGAATGAAGTACTGCTGAGAAAGTCTTGCCCGTGAATGGAAGCAAGGTCTCAGACAGAAATCGGGCTAGTTTATAGGTAGGTGAGTTGATGGTGGAAACGATGGGATGGAGTGGAGTACCTTCTTATGGATTTTGGAAGACCATAGAATCTGGGTGGTCTAGCAGCAGAAGGTTTAAGGGAGAGCTGCTTGTTTCGTTGGATTAGAGAAGTCGAATTTGTGATGATATTGTTGGTTTTTGTAGCGAGGCGGTTGGTAGGATCTTTCTTGATATTGTGTAACTGCCATCATAAGAAGGTCCTGGATTTTGTTGTTGTATGTGGTTTTATCCATGATGACAGTAGCATTGCCCTTGTCGGCTGAAGAATGACTGTCATCTCTCTTTTTCAATTTAGCGAGTTCAGAGCGCTCGTTTTTGCTGGTTATTTCCAGTGGTTGGGGTGATAGCTTTCCAGGTTGTGTAGTCTGAATTCATCTTGAGGGCTTTGTGTACATGCTCCAGTTCACTGGCTAGATGGTGATGGTCGGAAATACAATGAGCTCTATGGTGTAGAGTTTTGATGAAGGAATTCTTCTGGCATGGATGGTGGTGGGAGTCAGGTTTTAGGTAGGCATCCGTATGGGGTGGCTTTCCTGTAGACAGTGTCCCATTGAGCCATCAGGTTTTTTCAATTAAAACATCCAAGAATGGTAATGCCATTCTTTTCCACCTCCATAGTGAATTTAATGGCTGGGTGTATAGAATTGATGTGGTTGAAGAATTAGTCCAGAGCTGGTAGGCCATGTGGCCAGATAACGAACGTGTCATCTACATCGTGATATTGTTATTATATTTTTATCTATGTGGCTTTACCGAAAGACCCAAAGAATATGAAGTCCTGCAGTCACGAAAGCTTTAAGTCAAGTGATATAATCTATTTCTCACATTAGGGGTGGATGTCAGTTTGACTCCCATTGGCACTGTGGATCACTCACTGTTTGTAAACTCCCACAGATTTGTTCCTGACCTTGAGGACATCGTGAACTTTGAGGAATTGGTGAAAGAAGATGGCCTTTCAGCGGAGGCCATAGCAGCTGCCAGTGAGTTTAGCGTTTTGTTCAGGTTTTAGCTCTGCAGAGCATTGTGATTTCACTTCAATAATTAATTGCTCAGATATAATTATGCAAAATATAAATCATAAGAAGATTATAACGACTGAAAGAGATTTAGAGGACAAATTGACAATGGAAAACTATTCATTTGTCCTGGTCAAATGCCTCCGACGGGAACTTCCCACTTAATTGGCACATGAAATGCTAGGTTTTGAATTCAGGCAGTCACTCGTATTAAAATCACATTTTTTATTGGAGTGAGTTGATGTTCTCAACCTGTTTAAACAAACTATAATTTGAATCTAGTGTTTTTTGGAGCCCAGCTCAGCTCTGGTCGGTAAAAATGAAATGGAATTTGCCAGGCTGGTTATAGGTTCGAAAAATGTTCCATCTTATTTGCTTGAGAGATAATAAGTGAAATATGAAGCTTGAATTAAAATACATTTTCACCCCATTGTCAACATGGTCTCTGTGTGTGTCCCTTTGAAATGTTCCTGGGCAGGCACCTAGATGCAGTCCTTGGAACCCTGACAAGGAACTTTGCAGAGGGAACTGAGTACTTTAAGATGTTGGTGGATGTCTTTGCTCCCGAGTTCCGCAGCTCCAAGAATATGCATCTCCGAAATTTCTATATCATCGTCCCTCCACTGGTAAAGGGAATAAACATGTCGGCTCTCAGAATGCACATCTAACAATAACATTTATTTTTTTCCAAAAGAAATGAGTTCAATATAACACTCTTTGTCTGAACATTCCTGCTTAAGATGTTTGGCCATTTTTTTTACAAGTAAGGAAATAGCACTGAGAAATTTCGATCAACTGGTTCATGAACCCATGTGCTGTGAGGTGTCATCGTCAGCAGGCCATTGGGTTGGGAATGTTTAGCAGAATATGATTGTGTGGATCCCCACACATCTTGCATCCAGAGTACTTGAGTAAGGCAGTAGCTGGCATTTTTTTCACTAATTGCAACCACGCATTAAGGTTTTAATGTCTCACTTGACATTTTAATTCGTGAAACTTCCTGAGGTTTTATCAAGAAGGTTTGGCGTAAGTTGCAATTGCTTCCATCGGAACATTTTGTATGTTGCTCTTGAGTTTAAGTTCTGCCAAAATTGAAATAATTGGTGCTCTTTCTGTTCCAGTGATTACCGTGTTTCATGGTACGGTGTTATGCCCTCTGTGGATTTGCCCCAAACACTACGCTGAATATAAATTGTTGGCTCCCACATATTACTTGCTGGGCTTACCTCTTATGCGTTTGTCTGAAGTACAGGGATTGATATATTTTGCATTGTAGGCAGTTTATTTGGACAAGTGGTGAGAGATTAAGATGTAATCTGGAAAAGTTTTAAATGGCGCTATTCGGTATGTGGATGCCTAACTTTCATTCATAGCTGGCTCAAATATCAGATTTACAGTCCCCTATAAGTGCTTGCTTGCTTTACAATGTAATCTGTAGCTTGTGCATTCAAATCCTGGTTGGATGGTGACTGAGCAAAATGTTGTTAAAATCAATACAACTTCGTGGGAAGTCAACAATGATCATCCTACAGAGATATTGGTCTCCACCATAGGAATGTGGAATTAGCATTTTAGGCAAAGGGCCAATAACAAAGATCACTTGAATCAAGTAGTTATTTTCATGAAGTTCAGTCATTTTTTGCCAAAATGAGCAAAATTGAACTTTCGAAGAGATATTATCAAGAATGTCTATCTTTCATAACCATCAAACTTTTATACATTGCCCTAAGCATGTGCATCTCCCCATGAATATAATTAAAAGTCAAATTAAGGTGTATCTCTTCTTAATTAAAAACATATGTAACACGCATATATTTTTGTTGGCTGTGGGAGATCCTGAGCCAGCAAGGAAAATTCCATCACTGAAATAGTGGGGACCGGTTTGTTGGCAAGACAACCGTTGTTGACTTCTCACAAAGTGGTACACATTCTCAGCACTTTGGAGACATGATGGGCTTGCCTTGGCTACCAACCGGGGATTTGAGCTGGTACCTTTTCTATCAACAGTGCTGACCATAGTAAACGTTGCATTGTTGGTTCAAGACTGCTGTATTATTGATCTTTTGATGTTATGCCATTGTCTTTTTTAGACACTGAACTTTGTGGAGCATTCCATCAGCTGCAAGGACAAGCTGAACAAGAAAAATAAAGTGGGTGCTGCCTTCACCGATGATGGCTTTGCTATGGGTAAGCTGTATTTATTGAATACAATTGTGAACTTGAAAGCAATGCTTTGGAGGACAAAACACATCCAATATTGAATACTCTTCACCTCGCTTTGAAAAATGTGCTTGTGCAGCTGAAAAGGTTATTGCGATAGCAGGTTTGAGGATATTTGGTGCTGTTATTTTTGACAGCGCACTTTGCACAATATTACATTCCAAGATGACTGCGTAGTTGGAGAATGTTGAAATGTATCCTCCTATGAAATTGATAATTGTTAACAGTGACTAAAAACTCGTTTTCTCAGAGAGGTGGCCTGGTGACTTGGGGCTCAGAAGCACCAAGCCACCACTGCTGAGATCCACGATTAATATCCAGGTTCCCATACCTGTGGATTCTCAAATGTAGCATAACCAATAGCTGCCCAAAACGAATATCACGTTGATAATTTTTTACTTATCTTGC